TAATTTTCAAAAGCAAAGCGGTGTTAAGTGGTCATATAACCAAAATGCATCCTGAGCTTATTGCGGCTGATTCTGGCAAAATTCATCAGTGTACGCATTGTTCGTATAAAACCACAAGGAAATTTTATTTAACCAGGCATACATTAAAAAAACACCCATCACAGACGTCTGGTAACTATAAACTTATTACATGTAGCCACTGTAAGGCTACATTCATAAGCAAGCAGAGCTTAGATGAGCATATTGTAAGGAAACATCCGGATTTTATAGCATCTGTTACTAGGAAAATATACGAATGTACAAATTGCAAATTTAAAACTCTCACAAAAGTTCATTTAGATAAGCACACGTCGAAATCAACTAACTGTAAGAAGTTCAGCCATTGATTAACGTATTCTAGGAAATGCCTAATCATATGCTGTATTTGGACGTTTGCTTAGGAGTAATAAAACGTACTCTTTTTCCTTTCAAAGAAAATCGTTCATTCTTAAATCTATATGAGAAATGTGAATAGTCTGTCCAGTCTGTCGGCATCACGTCTGAACCACAATACGTAAAAATTTGTACACTTACTAATTGAAACCCGAGGAAGGTTAAAAGTACGGTTTTATCAGCGAAACCATATAGAATGTTCAAAAAGTTGTATAGATCAAAATATCTCGAAAAATACGTTTCCCAGAGAAAAATGTTGTGTAACAAAATTATAAGCCTCAAAAAGATCCATCTAATGGTGACCTTGAACGTGACATTGACTTTTACCTCATTCGAAGGTCAATACAATTTTGTTAAATGGAAACCTGTTCCTGTTTTTACTTTTACTGTTTCTAACAGAAGAACTACTGCACTTCCTCGGTGAACTTTTATTAGTTCTAGAACACAATGACAACTCCTTAACAACTACCCTGGTCAATCTTTCAAACCGTTCAGACACCCGAATACTCGAAGTTACATCGAGCACACTACAACTAAACCTCGTAATTTCTTATTTTGTAATTATTCTCAACACCTTCTCTTAATTACCAGATACGATTACTAAACAATTTTACATTTTTTTACATTTCACACGTCAAAACATCTCTGAATTTTTCAAATTTGTTTATACAGAGTGGTTTTGTTAAAACATCTGCTACTTGATATTCTGAAGGGTGTAATATCAATCTCTACTTCACCTTTTCATTTATAAAGTGAAATCTCACATCTATATGTTTTGATCTTCTGTTAACCTGATTATTTTCAACTAATCATTGCACTCTGATTGTCCACATTCAATGACACATCAACATTTTCACAAATCATGTCTTCAATTAAACACTTTAAATACAATAGTTGTTTAACACATTCTGAAGTTGCTATATATTCAGATTGAGTACTTGACAACGACACTATTGGTTGCTTCCTTGAGCAGCATACAATAGGTCCACCACAGTACATTACAACATACCCAGTAGTACTCTTCCTTGTTTCCAAATCACCAACAAAGTCCGAATCACTGTATGATACTACTTCACTTCCATCAGAGTCTTTATAAAATTTTATTCCATAGCTTTCAGTCAATTTCAAGTAGCGTAGCACTCTTTTCATATTTTCTTCATCACTGTTAGTGGGAGTATCCATTTTTCTACTCCCGTAGCCAAACAGCATATGCAATATCTGGTCTTGTTTTATTTGCAACATACAGCAAACTTCCAATCAGCTCACGATAAGGAAATCTTCTATTTACAGGTTGATCTTCTTCTCCTTTATTAGTTTCCATAGTTGTTGTTACTATTTTTGAATCCCCCATATGGAATGTTTCTAAAAACGTTATTCTTAAAGAACTAATATTCACCATTGGACTGAATGTTTCTTTATATTCTATTCAATATTTTCTGCAATGACTCTTTTTCATCTATGATTGCTTTCTTCCATTTTTCTTTGTCTTCTCCACTCATAGCTTCTGTATATGTTATCATCACATATTCTTCAAATCTTCATGGTAACCTTATTTCTCTTCTAGGTCTTTGTTCTTCTATGCCTTCTCCTGAGTCTCCAGCATTTTCAATTCGCTCATCTGATTCTTCACTATTTTCTATTTGCTCTTCTGCATATTCATCTAATGAGCTTCCTGGGATTTCATTTTCTAGATCTTCACTAAATTCTTCTAGTTTCACATGAGAATCACATTTTTCTGTTATTTTTCTTTCATTAAACACATCTCTATTAAAATTTTTCTTTGTTCATCATTCCAAAGTCGATATCCATTCAATGCATAACCAATGAAAATGTATTTCTTACTTCTAAAATCCATTTTTTTAGTTTTCCAAGCACTTTTACATGAGCTTCACTCCCAAAAATATCTAAATTGGACAGGTTTGGTCTTCTACCCATCCAACTTTCAGCTGGTGTTACTTCCAAAGCTTCACTTGGACTTCTATTTAATATATAAGCAGAAAATCTTACAGCTTCTCCACAAAATGTTTTATTCGATGATGGCTCAAATAGCACTGCCTTTTCCATTATTGTTCTATTGCGTCTGTCCGCTTTACCATCAAGTTGTGGGGTATAAGGTATTGTGCAGTCAAGAACTATCCCCCTGTGCTTACACCAAGTTTTGAGAGTATTAACCATATTGCCTGCCTGCAGTGGGCATTCACGTCAATGCCTAGCCATTAATCTCAATGCCAGATTAGCAGATTAGATTATCACCTTTGCAAATTACTCGTGGATATTATACTTAAGATTTACAGTGGACACCCTGGTTAATTTTGCGATGTCGGGTACGTAACAAGTTTTATAAAACTTATTTAAAATTTCCCCCAACAGTTTATACAGAGATGTATCTTTTCCAGCAGTCTAGTAGATGAAATCATGAAGAAACCACCTGTTGCTAGTGAGAGAACACAAACAAGGAAAATGTTTAGGTGTAATGGTTGTAATTTTATTGTATCCAATGAGAACCGTTTAATCGTACATATGAAACATCATAATCATAAGTCAAAATCATATTTACATTATTCTGGAGATAAAATTAGATGTATCCATGTACATTGCAGCGCAACATTCAAAACTAAGAAAGGCATGGATCATCATATACTTCAAAATCATCCAGATTTGATTGCATCAGTAACTTATAAAATACATCAATGCGCACATTGCACATATAGAACTACTTCTCAAGGTTTATTTGCTAGACATAATAAATGCAAAAAGCATGTGAAGAACATACATCCAGAAAACAAATGAAAGAGCATACATCCAAAAAACATATGAAAGAACATATGATTGCTACCAGATTTAAAATTAACATAATATGTCCACGTTGCAAGGCATGATTTCAACATTTATTCAGTACGTACGACCACATAATCAAAGAACATCCTGAATTTAGTGCAACTGTTACTTGCAAAATACATCAGTGTATGCATTGTTCATACAAAACTACCAAGAAGGTGGATTTAACGCATCATCTTCAAACACATCCAGAAACATATAATAGTTATGAGTACACTTGCACTTACTGTGGTACTATATTCCAAACTAAAACATTATATAATCCAAATTCATCCTGAATTTGATCCGTCTGTATCTAGTAAAATACATCAGTGTACAATTGTTCATATAAAACCGCTATAAAATGTAATTTAAATAGACATCTTTTTACACATGCAGGGACATTTGCTAATGGGAAAGATCAGCGGTGATCAGGAACTCAGTATACAGGATATTTCCTAATATTGACATTCAAAATGTATGCAGGGTGATCTCGAAAATCGTGTCTATTACGGGGGTTAAAGCAAATCCAAAAATAACACCAAAGGTTCTTATAAAATGTCCCTTACCGAGATAAGGACGGGGCGGCGTTGAAGTTTCAATTTTGAAATCTAAAAAAATGTATCTTTGAACTGTGTTAAGATATTGACTTGAAATTTTGAGCTTGCAGTACTAACCGCGCCGCTGTCTTAGAAATTTGGATATTTCGACATCTACAGAAGGAAAAGGAAAATTATTTCCTACGCCACTGATTTTTTATTTTCAAACGTACATCTAAGTTTTAAATGAGGTTCTCAATTTATATGAACCTTTTGTCTTGAAAAATGTTGGTCCGGCTACTCCTATTGGAGAAAATTTGGTTTTAATATTTGAGGTAAAATCCGCATAAAAATCTTTAACTCGTTATATTTTGAAAACAAGCTGTAACGTTATTTGAACAATATTCATGCTTTGTCTTCATTCAGTCTCATGAGTGGGATAGACGTTTACAACACTCTGTATATGTTAGTAATGATACATTTTTGTTATTTTTAGATCGTGTTTCTACTCTAGAAACATTTGCACGTCTTTCTGAATCACCTTGTATATGTTACATTAATTGAGCGTTAATGTTTATGCCCCGGCAATGACGTTAATTGAGCATTAATTTTTTTGACCGGGAAATGACGTGAATGCCCATTGCGGGCGAGCAATGTTGTTAATGCTCTCATTCTATTGTCTTTGTTCGGCCAATGACAATAGCAATCAAGAAAGACTGAGCAATGTTGATATAAGGACCTACAGGTGAAAATATTGTAACAGAAACAACGTTTTTGCTATTTAATGTCTTAATTTATTACTCCCACATCAATTTATCACAATTCTTGCAACTAATGTATGACTATGTCGACTAGTCATGTTGTTACTGAGACTGACTCTCTTTGCGTATATTTGTCTTTGAATCAACGAGTTCAGAAACATTCCAGGGTTCTCTTGGTCGAACTTGAGTCTTCATCGAAGCTTGCTGGATGGCGTTCGATGTTTCTACTCCGAATTATGACTTTAGATTCGTGTTTAGCGTGAATAAGTACATGGGAAAAACATATTGGGCCCCCAAGCTTGACTTATCGTCTTTGCCTATAACTTAGATGCTATGTTTATTATTTAGAGTGGACACCCTGGTTATTTTTGCGGTATAATTGCATAAGTGAGAATAATAACGTTTTCTATAAAACTTCTTTTGAATTTCACCCCAGGTGTATCTTTTCCAGCACTGTAATAGATGAAATCTTGAAGAAACAACCTGTTGCAAGTGAGAGAGCAAGGGAACTGTTCAGGTGTAGTGGTTGTACATTTACTGTATCCAATAAGAACCGTTTTATCATACATGTAAGAGAACATAAGCATGGGTCAAATTCGTATGTGGAACATTCTGAAGTGAAAATTAGAAAAGAGGAATTAAAAAAATGTATACATGTACATTGTAACGCAAAATTGAAAACTAAGAAAGGCATGGACCATCATATACTTCAAAAGCATCCAGATCTTATTGCATCAATATCTTGTAAAATACATCAATGTACATATTGCACATATAAAACTTCTTATAAAGATGAACTTGTTAAACATAATGTGCGAAGACATCCCGAGACCATTGACAGCTATAAACTTAGAAGTTATCAGTCCAAACTTAAACCTTTCGGATGTATACACTGCTATGCGAGATTCAAACTTAAAAGGGGTTTGGATAATCACATATCCAAAAAACATATGAAAGAAGATACATCCAAAAAGCATATAGAACATAAGAATGCTACCAGATATAAACTTAACATAATATGTCAACATTGCAATGCACCATTTCAACATTTATTAAGTATGTACGACCACATATTAAACAAACATCCTGGATTCAGTGCGACGGTTGCTTATAAAATACATGAGTGTACACATTGCTCATATAAAACTGCCAACAAGACGTATTTAACTGATCATCTTCGAACACATTCAGAAACATTCAATAGCAATGGGTAAACTTGCATTCACTGTGATTATATATTTCAAATTAGGCAATCAACATCATATAATCCAAAATCATTTTCCGCTCATGTTTTGTATTTATTTAGTCTCATCAGTGCTGTATAAATTTACCTTATATATGTTAGTAGTTTTTGTTGTTTATATAGTTTCTACTCTGGAAACATTACCTCATTTTTCTGAGTCACCCTGTATATGTTACGGGCAAAGACGTGAATTGGACATTATCGGGCAACAATGTGAATGAATATTGTGGGTGGGCAATGTTGTTAATATTCTATTTCGCAATTGCCCAGCCAATGACGATAATGGGCAATGTGATGATCCAAAGACAAACGGTTGAAAATATTAAGCAGGACAAAACAAATGTTATCAAAACCTGAATCTTTTCGTTGTTTTTTATTTTTTTACACTACTGGCGAGGAAGTAATCTCTATAAATTTTGAAAATGAGATATTATGTGTTTTGGATGTTTCATGACATGTACGTCACGAAAAAACATGACCGTCGGTCTTAAAATTAGACAGTATGAGTGTAAAGATCGGTCTAGAGGACCTAGGGATAAAACGCGAAAAACAATTTAAATCGTTCGAACTTGACATTTCAGAGGCTGCAGGTCATTTTTAGGAAAAGTTTTGTAGGGGTTGTAAATGTTGCATTTTTTGGTATTAGTAAGACGTTTTATTATGTAGAAGTGTGTGATCTCGGTAGTATTCTTCACCTGTTAGATATAATATAAATATTTATCATAATATTTCCGTCTATGACTCCAGCAACACGCGATATTCTTTACGTTCGGAGGGTCGAATCCAAATTGAGTAACGCCGTCGATGTAATGATACCAGAACGTACGAAAGTTGACCAGATATTATGCACCCCGTATAGGGAGCCGATCATTTGATTATCAAACTTTGAATCAACAAATCAGTTATATTAAATCTATAACATCGCCAGCTATATAGTAAAGATACCAGAACAATACTGTTTTTCACTTATAGTCATTCTAATCTACAGGCTGATGTCATGGTAAAGTTGACTTCTATAATGTAACGGAATCACCGTTACTACTATATAAAGTATTATTTATTACTCTCACGCTATTTTATAACAACCCTTGCAACTAATTTGTTACTGCCCGTCCTCTCGACTGTACCATTCTGCCATAGTAACGCCTATTTCCAGAGCCTTCCAGGCAGAACGCGATGCTTCCCCACGTATTCTGGTTGCATAGTTGGTTACCTAAGAGTTGATGTTACGAAGGTGCTTCATTGCTCAGTTTACGAGGGCTTTACAATAATATACATGCTGCTTATTCACAGTCCATTTGTCCAGAATTGCGTGTGAAGTACAGAATCGATCTCCTTGACGCCATTTTATTTTTTCGGTACTGCGAATATCGTTAATATTTTTATCGTCAATGGTCGGATTAACCCGTTAAGATGATAATACTGAATATCGTCTTTGCCTCTAACATAAATGTTTATTCATGTCGTAGAGTGGACACCCTGATTAAATTTGCGGTATAATTACATAATAAGTAAAAAGAACATTTTCTCTAAAACTTCTTTTGAAATCCACCTAGAATTTTACACAGTTATATCTTTTCCAGTGCTGTAATAGATGATATCTTGAAGAAAGAACATGTTGCAAGTAAGAGAACAACGAAAGTGTTTAGTTGTAACGATTGTCATTTTGCTGTATCCAACAAGAACCGTTTAATCGAGCATATGATAGAACATAAGAATTATACGAATGCATATACAAAGCATTCTACAGATAAAATTAGCAAATGTATACATTGTAACACAACATTCAAAACCAAGAAAGGCATGGATCATCATATAATTCAAAAACATCCTGAATTCGTCGGATCTGTTACTAGTAAAATACATCAATGTAAACATTGCAGATATAAAACTAATTATAAGAGTGAATTTGTTAAACATAATATGCGAAAACATCCTGAGACCATTGACAACTATGAACTTAGTAGCTACAAGTGCAAACTTAAACCTTTCGCATGTATACAATGCAATGCAAGATTCAAACTTCAAACGAGTTTGGATAATCACATATCTAATAGACATACAAAAGACCATAAAAGTGCTACCACATATAAACTTGCTATAATATGTCAACATTGCAATGCATCATTTACACATTTATACAGTATGTACGACCACATAATTAAAAAACATCCTGAGTTCAGTGCGACCGTTGCTTGTAAAATACATCAGTGTACACATTGCTCATATAAAACTACCCAGAAGACACACTTGACTAATCATCTTCAAACTCATTCGAGAACATACGCTTGCACCCGCTGTGATGACATAGTTTTAACTAAGACTGGCATGGAAGACCATATAATCAAAAATCATCCAGAACTTGTTCCATCTGAATCTAGTAAAGTACATCGGTGTACGAATTGTCCATATAAAACCGTTAGAAAGAGTAATTTAAACAGACATATTTTAACACATTCAGCGACTGTTCCTGCTGAATCTAGTAAAGTACATCAGTGTACGCAATGCATATATAAAACCACCAAAAAGAGTAATCTAAACAGACATATTTTAATACATGCAGGGAGATCTGATAAATGATAAGACTTCAAGTAAAGATGTTGATTGGGCATTAACCTGAATCCATTGCTGGCGGGCAATGTTTTTCCCATTTTGACGTTTTTCTCTGTTCATCAACGGTAATGGCTGGGCATGGACATGAATTTTCATTGCGGGTGTGCAATGTTAATAATCTCATTCTAACGTATTTATTGTCCGACGATAGGCATAAACAATAACATATTTTAACTCCATGACACAGCGCAAAGCGCCATCTATCACACCAGACTCGACCATTGTGGATCCCGCATCGCTTCTATTAGTTGGAAATGTCATGGATCTCAGTTCGAGTTTAATACCCGTGCCGCTAAGATGGCTGATGATACTGGCTGCTGGAATCAGTTGTCCATGGTTGGCTGTCTTCTTTTTCTGGTCGGACGGACGAAGGCATCTTGTTTAATCTGTTCAATGGCAAGTAGACCACATCTACTTTCAGTCAGAATCATCAGCCATCTAGCGGCACGACTATTAAACTCGAACCGAGAGCTATGAAATGTCCAACTAATAGCAGCGATGTGAGATCCACAATGGTCGATTCTGGCGGGATAGATGGCGCTTTGCGCTATCTCATGCTGATAAAACTTAAAGTTTCTCCATTATTCACAAAATGAAAGTTATTCATCGTCACTGTCCTCACTCTAGATGATTGGGTCGGTTACTTGCTGCTTGGTACGAAGGTCCTTGTAACGAATGAAATGTCTCGTTTATGTAGGGAAGTAGCTCTAGCAGGTTCTTTTTCTTCTCTTCTATTATAGGTATTGGCCCCTTGTAAGATAGAGGATTCCTGATTCCATTAGGAATAATATTCTGGCTCAAGTAGTTAATTTTTTTAAAAGGTTGGTTTTTGTCTAAGTTACTTTTGTATTCTACAACACCTATTTTTTGAGAATATCTTAACCACTTTATATCTTTCCATATAACCTTCTACCCATCGGCATATTTCTTTGGCTGATTGAAATATTGTTTTAATAACGCTGCGGACGCAAGGTAGTGGCGCTGTGTCATCTCTGTAACTTGAAATGGCTGTGAGTTACATGTTCTTACTAACTTAACTACTCTCTGGGATGTTCATTGGTATGGCGTATTTTTTCTTCTTCTCAATCACAGAACGGTCCGATTCACACTGCATATGTGTGTGACCCGGGGCCAGAAATTTGTGATTAATATATTTTAAGGATGGGTTCAGTTTCATAAGTAGGAAGAACATTACTAGAACATGCGTGTTCTTGTTTTGATCTGAACAAGTTTCAGAATATAAGGTGATTTATGATATTCCTTCTAAATTAATTGATAAAAAATGCTTAAAGCGATTTGATTTTCCCCTCTGCCTCGCATAGCCTCATGCCACATAAAGCAAACACTGCTTGCTTTTTAGATTGCGCATTGTAAAATTGAACGTCCATAGCTGCCTCCTGTAAAAAGCTATAAACGTTTTTATATCTGGCGTTGTAAGGCATTGTTGCAAATCAAACGTATACACCAGGCGACAGCTATCTTCTAAACAAATTTCTTGTCTTGTCTTTTAGCTTCATACGCGTTATTTGCTTGTGCCTGATGACTTTGCAGTTTAATTTTCAGTGCCTCGGCGGCTTCACCTTGGGTGTTTTTGATAAGCATGCACAGCCTGTCACATGTGGCACATGTATTCTGATAAGGTTTTTTTATTTCGAATCCGAAGTTTCGAAAACAGGTTTCGTATATTTTCTGAAAAATAACTTTTCTCTCAGGCAGTAGCCAAGCTTTATATTCATCATAACACCTCTTGAGAGTATAGTGGCTCGGTAGATATTTTCTGCTTGAGTCTTTTCGAGTATAGTGACTCTCGTAAAATGGAATCAATAAGATATGATTTCGAACCAGTTCCATATCAGCATCTGATGTTTTATTTGCGGGAGCTGATTTTCCACGTCTGTTAGTGCTAAATAAACCTGAGGTTGATACACGTTTATTGTTTACTATATATCTAATAAATCTGTTCGTTAAATCAAATGTTAGCATGATACAGCGTTTACGTGTGTTTATTCAACTCCGTCTATTAAAAGAGAAAAATGTTATTGTTCTATTCTTGTGTTTTTTACCATCAGCTTTTTTTGTAGTTTTTTTATCGCTATTGGATACCAAACCAGCAATATAAAGGTACGTCCACACTGGAGCAACAGTTGGCAACTTGTAGCAATATTATGTTGCAACAAGTTTTGCTAAATGTTTGAAGTCATTAAAGATTGACATAAAACAAACTGTCCTCACTAGTGCAACAATGTTAATGAATATTTGCACTTGTCGAATCTCAAATTCACTTGAGTACAACATTCGGTCCACACTGCTGTAGTTTTGTGACAAAGGAGGAAGGCTTATTAACTGCTACCGCGTGCTTTCTAATTTTGTGTGGTGATTCACGAAAACGGAAGCGTAAATGTTGGGTCCGTCCAAGTTTGAAGAAAAGGGAAGAATATGGTGGACAGGAATTATTATCGGATTTAAAGAAAGATGACGTTTTACTAGAACTTCGAACCGATGGGTGCTTCAAAAATGTTTTGCGCATGAGTGGTTCAGAGATGGAGTTTTTGCTGAAAAAAATTGCACCAGTGATTAGAAAAGCAGATACAAACTGTAGAAAGGCTATACCTCCACAAGAACGATTAGCTGTAACATTGCGCTTTCTGGCAACTGGAGATTCCTACACCAGCTTGATGTATTTATTTAAGATTTCGAAACAAGCTATCTCAAAGATAGTACCAGAAGTATGTGCTGCGCTAGTAAACGCAATTAAAGACCAAGTTATGGTAAGTAAACTTTATTGTACATTTTTATTGATAAATTTACAATTTTTACATGTTACTTAATTGAAATGCCTCTGCGATAATGTTTGAAGAACCAAAAGCAGTAGAGGAGTCTGAAGAGTTTTGTATGTATGTCTCCGCTGGTGATGTAGCTGGTGTGCTGCAATACGATGAATGTGATTGTGGTCTCGTGAAAGGTAGCATTGATAAAATTGGCGCATGTGTGTCGGCTGATTATTGCATTCCATAATCATATTTACCCATACTTGCATCGAACAAAACATTACTTATAAGATGTTCTACAATATTTTGTGCGCAGGTGGTATTCAAATCCCTAATTTTACACGCCATATGTTCTCCAAATACATCGAATTTGTCTCGTTGTCGTTTATTTTGTATGTCTTTAATTATTTTATATGCCTCTTCTTTTCGAGCGTTATCATCGATTGTTCTTTTTTTAAGTGTTTGTGTGACACGTCTAGTTTTATTAGGGTGTTTAAATTCACCAAGATCTGTGCTGTTAGGATTTTCCACGGTTTCCTTACGAGGCTCTTGAGAGGCTTTGTTAGATGCCGAAGCCTCCTGACAAGCAGCGTTAGATGTTGATGGCTTTTGAGAACCATCGTTAGACAAGTATTCCATGCCTTGGTTGTCATTTTCTACATCTTGAAATTCTTGGGTCTCACTTCCACATTCATCACAGTCTGTTACCTGCGAATAATCCAAGTCAGTTTCGGAGGAAGAGCCATTAAGGTCATCCTGAAAAGAAAAATACATTGTATTAAATGTAATTACAGTGATCTACATTTTTAGCCTAAGTTATGTATATCTCTGTATTTCAGATGCCTAAAACTGCTCAAGAATGGGAAACAATTGCTAATGGTTTCAGTGTTGTTTGGAATTTTCCAAAATGTGTACGCGTCATGGATGGCAAGCATATTGCAATACAAGCACCAAAAAACAGTGGAAGTGATTTCTTCAATTACAAATCGTTTTTTAGCATCGTTCTGTTCGGCGTAATGGATGCTAATTACCGATTTTTGTATGTTCATGTAGGCTCCCAAGGGAGAATATCTGATGGAGGAGTTGTCGAAAATACATTATTCAAAAAACTATTAACTCGCTGGAAACTCAACCTTCCAGAATATAGCGCTTTACCAGGACGTGAGAAATTAGTCCCAAACCGGTGCGGCTTGGAGTTTTTTCTGTACCTCTGAGTATCTGATTTTGTTGAAGGTGGCGAGTCCAAGTCTTTGACATTCCTTGTCCTGTAACAGTATATGTGGTTTTGGGTGTGGAATAGCTGTTTCTTGTTCCTTCGTAATGGGAGTAAAGTCCACGCACATGTCATCCTCCTGGTGGATGTCTGGAGCCGACCAAGGGACTTCATCTTCTGAGTCTGGATGTTCCGAATATATATCAGAGTCTACTAGCGCTGCATCACTCATTATGGATATTTCTGAGGCTGTTTCTGGTGGTTCCAGTCTGTTTATTATTGAATTTAGCATGTCCAGATCTTCGTGATTCAGATAGGAGTGATGAGGCTTCTTTCCTTGAAATCATTAAATGTTTCATATCTTCTAGAGCCGCCAGAACTAGTTCGTTCTATGCTATCGAGCCTCTTATCTTTGCGGCTAGACTTGATGGTGCCGTCACAAGGCCCAGACAGAATGGCCAGTTTAGCATTCTGATCTTTATGTCGCGATATGCTTTTTCTGAAAGGCATGAGATTGTAGGGTTGAACGCTCGTGCTATGCCTACTGTTGGTAGAGCAAATCTAAGCTTATTTAAAATCTGCGGATCTATAGGTTCCTCTAAGACATCGTCCTTGGTTGTCGCTGCTATTCTCCATTCCTTCCATCCTGCAGGGAGATGTTTCACAGCCAGAGCTTTGATCCTATCTAGGATGATGTTATCACTCGTTGATTCTGCCTGTTTGTCGAACAAATCCCGGAGTGTAGTCACAGCTACTGGTGATACCATCTGCAAGGTAAAAGCTTCGTATTAACGTACAGACCTAGATAGAATGGCAGTGTACATCCTTATAGGTTTGCCCCCGCTTAGGGTTAGGCACATGTGCGGCGGCTCCTCGGCAGAGCCGTCGATTAAACCCGACGACGGTTCGGGGAATCGAGCCCTCGGCTGGAGCCGCAGGGTCAGACAATTTGCACACCGGCTCGGAGATTGAGGCGACGTCTTAAGAAAATGGGACGACGTCCCAAGAAAGTGGGCCGACGTCTCTGAGGATCGAGCCGGCGCGCCGGCTCGAGATGTTGAGCCGACATTGCAAAACAGGCAGTGTGCGCTGAGTTTGCCATCATAAACTGTAACCCTTCGGGTCTTAATAGTTTCTATGGATGTAATGACAAGCCGATAGGATTAGTCAGCTTAAGCGCCCCAAGGTTATGTCTAGGTGCTCACAATCTGCCACACTCTTTGACTGCATGCTACCTGGTAATATGTATTAAGTACGACCTACCTTATTGACAAAACACGTATCACGCACTGGTCTTCCACAAATATTACAGTTTGATAAATGGAGGGATTCGAACGGCACACGCCGTTAATATTTAGCGGACGGTACGGGAGCAAAATCCGAAGCGTACTGAGGAACACACACTTGAGCTCTTGAGCAGCGCAAAGGCGCCGAGGGGCTCGGCGCAACGTTGCCAAGTGTGTCCTGACTTCCGACATTGAGGGAAAAGCGCGACGGTTATGGGGCAAGATCGCGAGTGTAATTTAGGGTCAAGCCGACGGCACAGATCTGAAATATAGCGCTTTACCAGGACGTGAGAAATTAGTCCCTCACGTATTTTTAGGGGATGATGCCTACCCATTATCGCCAAATTTACACCTTTGGGGATGGTGCCGTGCAGAATAATTTTTGAATTATTATTCATGTATAAATTGAAATTGCCTATTTATTTATTTGAATAATCAATAATAGAAAAGTTAATATGTATAAAGATGGTGTGTTTACTTGCCACGTGCTCGGCTTCACTTTCCTTGCATGGGCGGACTTTGTTTTTGTCTCGAAGAAATAGTAATGCATTGTAGGCAAACCACTTGGAATGAAAGTGAGCGCCTGCTCCAGAATTTTTTATGCTGCGATATTTTTTCGCTCTCTATAAAACTGAGCCACCAAGTTACGGATTTTTCTTTTTGCCTCTTCCTGAGATAAGCACCCTACAGCTGAACAAACTGCATTCCATGCATAATTTTTTTGATTCTCTGCATTTATATTTAACATTTTTAGGATTCCAAATACATGGATTTTGTCTACAATTGTCAATTAAATTTAAATAATTCTCCGAAGTCCACTTAAACGCTATCACGAAAACCTAAACATTCACGCAAAGGCATTCTTTATAATAAAATACAAAACAGAACACTGAGACGCGGCGGTGTCTAGTCACTGAATTTGCAACAGGTCTCAACTCGCAACAATCCGTCCACATCGAAGCAATGTTGACAAATGTTTCACTTTCTTTCATATTATCCTTTGATCTTTACCGCTAAAAACTGATTTATGCAACATACTACAATTTATGTTGAATCGCAACACCAACTTTATGCAACGCAACACAACATATTCCAACAAATATAAACATTTTATGTTGTAACAAGTTTTTGTTGTATTATGTTGGAAAATGTTGCTCCAGTGTGGACGCGCCTTAAGATACGCGTTTTTCGTAGTCGCCGATGCTCCAAAATTCATTGAAAACATGCCTTCTTTTGTTATTATCCAAGCGGTCTTTGCATTTCATTCTACACGTAGGTAATTCGCTGAAACATTTTGCTCTTACTGTTACACCCTTCTTGGTAACATGTTCCTGTCCCAAATTTCACAGTTTTTTTCGTGTTTCGTATTTGTCTTGTTTCTCCCTTTACTGACCTTTTCCCCCTCTTCCTAGTTTCTTTGTTACCATTTTCGTTGTTCTCCATTTTGGTCTTCTCCGGTGATATGAACTCTTACTTTCTTGTTGGGTGCTTGGAACTCCAAATTGTTGTCTTCTCCGCTGCTACTTGGTACATAGTCTTTATCCTTATCAGAGTCATCGATTGGTTCATCCATCTTAAAATATTAAATTTAGAAATAACTTTTTTTTTTATTTTTTTATTAAAGACTGTACTTCAGTCCATTGAAAATTACAAGAGGTTTACATTGAATCTGTTACTGAAATGACATGACGGAATCAAACCGGGTATTGAACAACAGGATATGGCCGCGAGGCCTATTTATACAGTCGTATTGCTGACTAAGTATTAAAGGAAACAGCAAAGGCACTGGCTAAGCAACAGATTAGCGAGAAGTTGTTATCGGATGCTGATGCAGCGTCTAGGGCAACATTGTATATTAAGCCTGATGGTCTTTAGGAAGTTTTTGCATAAGCGATCTTTCTTTCTGGTCCTCCATGAGTTGCAATGCCAGGTTTTTTAAAAAAACTCGTCTTCTCTCATTGTTGTTAATATTATCAAACTTAAAAATCACGTTCGCATTTATTCCACTTATATCCAAATGTCTAATAAATAGAGCAAGGGGCCATCTTCTTATTATTCTTGAAGTACCGTCATTTGGGGTGGAATTGATCGAAAATTAGTTGTTTTCTCATATTTTTCTCAGGTTATTATGAACAATCTTTTAGAAAAAGTGTGAATAAGGTATATCTGTACCTCAGAATAAAAGTGTATGTCACAAAACTGATGTTTTACAGGAGGGTCTTAAACTTATGAAGATCACATTATCGAAATTTTATTGATTTACAATGTAGCTTGTGCGTTAATTAACTTATTATTTGAAGCAGGACCTAATTATTAATTGAGATACCACTTTCAAATCATTCAGAGGCCTCCACTTTAAATTAAAACATTTTTTTTAAATTTGCTTTTTGGACTTGGTACACTTTTGTTCTGATACTAAATCCATTACTGGTTCTTGACATACTGGTGAGAAGGACTTGATACATTTAGCCTGTACTGCAATTACCATTATTGTTTTGCAACTATGGGGCTTTGAAGGTGTAGAAAGAGAGGCATCCAGTTTTATTATGTTTAATTATAAAACAAAAACAAAAGACGAAGGTTTACACTCTAAACAAGAGTAGATATACAGGTAAATATCATTTTAAATCCGTTACTCTGACTCTTCACTCCCCTCACTTTCATTCTTCTGGCGAAGATTTTTATAGAAACTGTGGAATTCTTTGGGAATCCATTTAAGCAAACCCTGTAGATGCTGATATTTTTTTGCAGAGATCGGATGCGATCGCTCGGGAATCAATTTTGGGAGCTCAGTTACTTGTTGCACCCGACGCCCAGTCCTTGTTAAGTTGACTTCATGGAACTCTTTTTCCTCGAAATCATATTTATAAAACAAAACATCAGGAAATTCTTGTCTAAGTTGAATATGAACCATTTTTGAAATGCGTACGTCCTCTCCAGCTTCATTCTTCTTACGGGCCATAAACGGTGACGTAGTTTTGTTGTAAACAGTCTTAAAGTTCAAGAAATCTTCAGACTGCATGTTAATTATTAGGAATGGATTGTTGGCGCTACTCATTCTGGCTAGCTGCTGCCAATCCCAAGGTGTTACTATTTGGAATCCAACAGTTTTTCCTTTCCCTTTCAATTAGAGCATGACAAGCATCTACCTCGAGATGCGTGTGACCCCGCAACAAATATTTATGGTTAATAACTCGTAGAATCCAAAGATACACCATGACCATTATAAAATTCCTATTTTGAGACGGACAGTTGTCAGACCAAACTACGATTTCTCTGTGATCAGATTTAATGTTGTTCTGTGCCCATCGAAGCATACCCGATGCCATTTCATTTGCTCCACGACTTGCTTTTGACTCATCCCACATCACACAGGTAGTTATTTTATTTGTAGAGTCATATAAAGTGTAGTTATAAGTCCATAACTTCAAAGCATAGAAGCTCTGGGAGTTAGTCAATACTGGCGTAGGCAAACATTTTTGCAGGTCTACAGTAAGCATAATCTTGCTTGTACTATACTTGGCACAATCCTCTATCGGCCTTTTTAAGGTGGTAACGCTTTGAAGATTCTGCAAGGTGATCTTTGGAGCTCTTTCTTCTCATCAGCACTTTGTGCATCCTTGAGGCGTATAAAGTAACTGTCGCATTGATCGCAGGTGTCATTGTTAGGGTATTTGAAAGATATATTAAAGTCTTTATTGAACACCTCCGTATAAAGCCATTCTTTTGCAATGTGCTCTTCTGGTACATTATTTTCTTCGCAATAGCCTCTGTAGAGCCTGTATAACCTTGACAGATTCAAATGGTTTCCTAAATGCTTCTTTTGGGATCGTTCGCGTGAATAATGGGGCTCCACGGCTGGAATCTGCATGATATGCTCTCTAATACCCTGTTTGATAAACTCAGGGATTTTTGAATGATTCCCATGACGGCCACGTTCATCAACAGCTATCATTCCTCCTGCTTGTTTTTTTTTCAAGGCAGTTGAGACGAATGTTTGAGATACTTTCAACGTATTTGAAAAAAAGGTCTTACATACTCTAATAGTCTGATCTGTATTTTCTAAGTAATAAGTCCGTGTATATTGTCTGGAACCCTCACGCTCTCCAGTTCTTGATCTTTTCCTGACAGTCCTTACGACTTTGACATGAGACGCAACAAATTGTCTTTTATGATTTATATCTGTATCAGGGTTCCAAAATGCTATATTTATGCTTTTGCGAAGGTCTTCATTGAAATTAGTGGTGCACTTGAAGCGGCAGCTAACTGCACAAGGCATTCCAATTCTCTTAGCCGATATAATCTTACTTTTTGATCTGTGTTCCAGCCCTGAAGCTACTTTTCGTTTGTTTATATTAATTTTCCAGTTTTTTGTGTTACGTGCCCTTTTTCTAGATTTCTTGATACACCTATCTGAAGACTTTTCTTCACCAGATGAGCTCTCCGTTTCGCTATTGCAAGTTGGATCGTTTATACTATCATCGGAATCAAGTGGTTGTGTATGAAGTACTTCCCCACAAGCGGCATCTAGAAGATAGATCATTAAAATTTGACTCTTTTTAATACCGTTATTTCCCAAATGTTCATCAGAAGATTTGCATCCTTTGTTTCCAGTGGAAACAGGCTGCTCTCTGTGAAGCTGTTCTTCACTAGTGGGTGTTGAAGATTTATCTAAATAGGCCAAAATACTTCCATCGGTCGTTTCGGCCACAATTTCTCTTGTATCATCAATTTGTTGCCTATCAACGTTTTCCTCACAAACTATGCCTAGAAAATGAGACATAAAAGTGAAAATCAACTCAACTGAACAAGGTTCTTAAATTCCATCAGTAAGACCTGTACCTGAAGATGCGTCAGAAACGTTGACTCCTGAGAGGATACCTTTTTTTGCCACGGCACCTGAAAAACAAGACAAAAATTAATGCAGAAATGACAAAGAATAGTCACTGGGTGGACTACGACTTGATATTTGTCTATAAATAGTGTCTTTTTTCTGACAAAAATAACACTGCTTCGAGTGGATAATAGTATCAAGTCCATAGGACGTGATATGCAACGGACCTAATACTCGTATATGATGGACTTGATACTCGTTAGTTAACAGCAAGAAATCAATCAATGCAATCAGTATTCCACCAACAACATTGAAATGAAAACATAGATTCAGTATCGTACACTACTTCACAATAGTC